TTAGCATTATAATGCTGTATAGCTGTTAAAAAAAACACAGTGAAGACATCAAAGACAATGATAAACGTCTTTTATTAGTCAGTTCATTTACAAGATGTACAGGCCCTTTAACAAAAACATAAAACCCAAACAGACATTAATAATCGATAGAACAGCAGCCAGATGACGACATGCCGGTTTAAAGTTTAGACGTCCAACTAAAAGCAAACGGTTACCTGATACCTGACAGACAGACAGACAGGAAGTAGCCGCTACGATAATCTAGTTTAAAAACAGTCCAATGTTTCGTGAAATCATCTTGTGGTTAGCTTAATAGAGGTTGATGATATAGCTCCAATGCTAACAGCGCTACAATGTCTCCTTTATATTTATATTTCTTCAACATGTAATTCAGACAGTTTGCGTGCTAACTACAGCTACCGGCTATAAAGAGCTTCATTTGCTACCATAACATCAGTTAGCTACAAGCAGATAACGTTTGCATGTCAACTGTCAAATAGATATAAAACTTTAAATAAGATGATCATGCTAGCCAATTTGCCAAAAAAACACCTCCTCTGCTTGTGCTAAGCTAGGCCATCTTTAGCCTATCTTAGCACAAGCAAGACGAGGTGTTACAAATAGCTACCATGACAACTGTAGCTACATCAACTAGCTACAAAAACGTTAAGATGATCATGCTAGCCGTTTTGTGACACAGGCTAGCAGATTCCCCCTGCTTCCAGTCATTGTGCTAAGCTAGGCTAAATACATCCTGGTTTAACACTGGCAAAACAGACCATAATGTAGTTACACACAGTTTACATAATCTGGGATATAACTATTGATTGATCTTGCTAAATTTTTTGTGCTACACTGGCTAGCAGTTCCCCCCTGCTTAAGTCTTTGTGCTAAGCTAGGCTAAACACGTCCTAGTATAACGGCAGTTATAAACATAACATTGATATAACATCAATTAGCAACAAGATAACAAAACATCAGATATAACTGTTTATGTAATAATAGCAGCAGCTACGAACACTTAGCATAGAGTAGGATATGCTAACTGTTCTTTCTAGCTAACATTATTAACAGCTAATACAATATTAAGATTTAACATATAAAGCAGGAACACTTGGAGTTGTTTGAAGGTCATTTTTTTATCAAGCTAGCTTAGCATTTGTTAGCTACCTGCTTCCAGTCTTTGAGCTAGTTGCTAAACTGAGATAAAACTGAAACAAAATGATTTAAAACGTCAGACTTTAAAGCTTTAAGTATAAAAATCAAACAGTCGTCAGTGACTAACGGAAGAACTGGATTACAGCGCTCATGCTAACACTGTTCACTGAGCACCAACGCTACAGCGGCTCAATCTACTCCAATGTTTTCATGCCTCTCTAAATCTAACATGCAACACTGAGAGCTAACGTTTGGATGGACTGATACAGGCGGCTGATATCAGTACGGAGGACTCAGGATGCAGCTATTAATCTCTTTTATTTTCTCAAATCAAATCAACATTATCTGTATCTTTGTGTTTTCTGTT